TTTAAGCATTCTACAAAGGGGTGTTCTTGCAATTGCAAACATAAATCCTCGAAATATTGAGTTTTCGAGTTCTATATTAACCTGTGGAGCATTTCGTTTCCGTATGTACGGTCACAAAACCTGCTTAACCATCTGCTCATTTACATTTCTTGTCATTCTAGGCATTGTTTCGGGCAAACTGAAGTGTGTGCTGGCCCTCTTCTTCAGTCTTTCAAAGCACAAACAAAAAATGCGTTCCCAGACAAAACTCCCCATTCCCGGCGCCATTCGCCCTTCCATTTTGCCCACAAGTGTCGGTCCGACGCCCTACGCCTTACGATCCAAGGACGTCGAGCAGAAGTCCAATTCCGAAAGTCCCGACGGAGATCGACGCTATGTGACGCCACCAAGCTCGGTGCAAAACAGTTTGCCGGACATTCAAATGTCTAAGGAGAGGGTGAACTCCAACAGTCCAGCGGAGCCTAAACCTCGGGTATCCTCTCTGCCCGTTTTTGGTGCGCGCAGTGCAGGACAGGACAGCTCCTATGTCAGGCGAAGCAAGTACGCCTAAACTTTCCTGCCTACTAACTATTATTTAGTAACCATTGCAGTTAATTCATCATTAACAGTACTCAAATAATTGGGCCAATTTTGCTAACTCGAGGTAACCATAGTCTCTGAAGTACGAAATGTTGTCAGAGTTGCCGCCTTATGCTAAGGTTGATTTATTTGTTCCGTTCTTAATACAAAGGAACTGTTACTGTGTTCGCTGACTAAATTAACCAACAGTATTATTTACTAGCATTAAATAGACCATAGACATAGATGCAAAATCCTAACACATAATATCCGCATCGGCGATAACAATTCTTACAGACAACGGCTTTTTATGCAGTAAGTACATAATCGGCTAGTTCGGTGTCCTGCTAACATGAAGTTGCCCCCCGAATATCAGAAATCTTGAAAAGTGTATCTGGCAGACTTATGTTTTCGGCAATTCATCATCGGGTCTATACAGTTGCGGTGATGATGGGACTAGGACTTCTGGACAGTGCTTATAAACCTCTGATCATTAAAACTCACTGTTTTTCACACCGTGAACATGGCCAGATCGGCATGTAGCCGCCATTGGATTGAGGGAAGGGGAGAAATTGGGTAGGGAATGCATAGTGGTCCTGGGTCGAGTGTATGAAGTGAAAATCCCTGTCACCTTCACGAAGGGAAAAACTATCATCAGGGGGTCAGGGGTGACATGTGGTCACCACCTGGCGTTTGCATCGGCCACGGAGGAGAGAGTGCCCATATAAGCCTCTTCTAACAACACAGTACTTAATTCGCTAGCCCTATAGTCACTGCCTTGACTGTTGCTAACACCCGTTGAAGTAGGTCCTTATAAAATTTGACTGGTATCCGGTAGAAAACCTGAAAGGCTTCGTTAAGATCGACTCAGTGATTCAAATTGACAGAGTAAACGAGAATAAAACTCGAGTTTCAACATTACTTAGCTAGGCCGACATGTTTTCACGTACCCTCTTTCCCAGGTGCTTCTTTGTTCAGTCAAAGGATCTTGCACCACAGGAGCAGGTGAAAGAATAAATGCAATTCCATGTGGCCTTCAACAAGAGTCTATCGCAGGGGGTAGTTAGTTAAGCCTGGCAACTGCGATCTTCAAACCCTGGTGACTTAGTGGAGAAAAAGTCTTGGAAAGCCAAAGTAGTAGGAACAGTATATTGTGTACACAGAGCAACGGAGAATAGATAGAAAGAGAGTTTTGACTTGGAGAGCATACAGCCGGCAAGGAGAGCTAGTCGAGTCCAAGTGCTGGTTTGACAGCAGTCAGGCCAGTAGACAGAGAGAGCTTTAATTGGCTGGGTCGGCCTGTGATTGGTTGGACAGCGCGTGGTTAGACATTGACGTGAGCGGTCAGTGTCTCGCGCGCCAGTAAGTCTGGCTGCCGCCACGACTTTGAGGTCTAGACGGATTGAGTTGACGACAGGAAGGTCAGGCGTCAGGCAGGCAGCGACCACTACAAGTCTGTATTTACCTCTCGAGCGTAGAATGGGAGAGTTTATCGCGGGTGTTAGGTTAATAGTTTAAACAATAGCTATTGCAATCTTCAGGCCCAGTTCCGTATGGGCGAACAGAAATCAGAGCAGGCCAACGTGTAAGGAAGCGTTTATTCTGTACATAAGGAATGGACAATAGATAGGAGGAAGTCGACTTTCGGACGGGCGTGGGTCTGCGATTTGCGATCACCACTTGGCATCGAGGTCGGCCACGGAAGTTAAGGTGCTTGTGTCAGCGTCTTCAGAAAACACAGCACTGGATTCGCTAGCCATATAACCACTGCTTCGGCTGTTGCAAGCACCCGTTGGCGTAGGCCCTTGGAAAAGCTAGCTGGTATCCGGTAGACAACCTAAAATGCGTCATTAGTATCGACTCGATTATTCGTATCGGCAAGATGTGAGAGAATAGACGCGAACTGACATGGGTCCATTCTCGTCTCTGTGCGGAACGCTAGTCAGTCCTGACAGAATTGTTCTTCGCTCTTTGCCAAATTGTTGTCGATCGACCATACTCAGTGGGGATTTCGAAAGACCAGGAGACCTCTTTTATGTCCAATCTATCCAACCTTGATCTTGACCGTTGAATTCGCTGTAGGAGCTAACCGCAGTTTCCAATACTAACGTCCTTGTAATTTAATAAGCTTTCGCACTCAGCCAGGAAGGTTGGAATACTGATTAGTTGATAGGGTCTCTGTGATAGCGTGAGGACAAGTAGACTCGCGATTTCCCAGGTTCGGGAAACTGTCAGCGCAGCAAATATTCCGAGTTATTGTGTTCGTTGCCGATGCATTTAAGTGAAACTTGATACTGTAAAATTGGCTGTCAAAAGTTAATTTTAATAGGCAGATAATATCGCCGGCCAAGAAAAAGGAGACTGGAATGGCCATTTGTGGCTTATTAGCCGTCGTCAGCCAGTCATATCCAGACCCAAGTGGTGTCCCA